AGCAACAGAAGATAAAATGGGAGCAATCAAATCAAATAAATTTATCACATACACAAAGTTCAACTTGCAGTGAAATGTTTTTATGACAAAAATTGAAGTTAAAAGTACACAGAACACAGTAAAATAATCCAGATTTTCTGTAGAATGAAATGTGACCCATCACATCGAAACGAGGATTAAGAACAAAAGTGATAAATGGAGAAAAAGGCAAATATAGTGTTTTGACTAAAATGTTAACAAAAATTGCATTAGTCAAAATATAACGAATAGAAGCCTTATCAATGTATCAGTTGAATGAACTGTCTGAAATATAATCATAAAACAAAATTAGGAAGCACTTTTTTGAGCAGTGGCAACAAAAAAAACTGATTTTGAGGAAAAACGCCTTAAATTTTTAAGATTTTCTCTGTGAGTTAGCAAAGTTTTGTTTCTTTTTAGCTGGAAAATCTCAATATTCAAGTAAAATTCAAGTTTTCCTCTTTATAAAGACATCAAAAATTCCTCATTAAAAGGACATAAAATTAGGATTCAGACCAAATATTTATGAATTATTGTAACCAACAAGACAAATTAAGTCATATATATATGGATTTCATTATGATATCAGAATGATCCAGGTATCAAAATGTAGCTTTTAAAGCCAAGAATCTGAAAATGTATTTAGGTCATTTTGACCAAATTCGACTTAATCCTCATTTTGATATGATGGCTCATAAATATGCAACCTCATCACACTGAGTCATCTTGTCCTGCACGTCCTTTCTGCGAGATGTTTGGAAGTATGTGTGATCCTGTTGTGAAGGGTCCTCCCACTGGGTGTGGACTGAGTTCAGATTTGGTGCAGAGGGTGGTGTGAAGATGTGGCATCAGTATGTGTAGTGAAGACGCGTGCATCAGGAGGTGGTGTGGAGATGCTGGCCTTGTCTTGGACAACTGGAGATGAATCCACAGCGCAGTCTGGAAAACATCAACAACATTAAAATGTACACAGTCTTTGCATAGTAGAAACAGTAAAGTGTCACTTTTTTGTAATTTTTGTTTAACATTGTGAGGAAAAGTTTTTCATTCAACACTTTCACACATCACATGCCCTTGTGACATGACTTTGAATAAGGAAGATGTAATTAAAGTAGGGATGATTTTGATTTATTGAAATCAAGTTGGCATACTAAAAGTGACTAATGTGGTAAGACTTACTTAGGGTTTCAGGAGTTCTGATAGGCTTTGCTCTGCCTTCTCCCTTCTTTTCAGAATAATCTGCATGGGCTCTCCAGATGAGGTAGTTGCCTGCAGACGTGCATTTTCATTGAAATGCAATGTAGCCAGGTACAGTCTGGTTAAAATAGCATAAAAGAATATTACATGTTAGTTTGAAGTTGCACCATTAAAACTCATNCAAATTCGACTTAATCCTCATTTTGATATCATGGGTCACAAATATGCAACCTCGTCACACTGTCATCTTGTCCTGCACGTCCTTTCTGCGAGATGTGTGGAAGTATGTGTGATCCTGTTGTGAAAAGTCCTCCCACTGGGTGTGGACTGAGTTCAGATGTGGTGCAGAGGGTGGTGTGAAGATGTGGCATCAGGACGTGTAGTGAAGATGTGGCATCAGGACGTGTAGTGAAGATGCGTGCATCAGGGCGTGGAGTGAAGAAGTGTGCATCAGGACGTGTAGTGAAGACGCGAGCCTCAGGAGGTGGTGTGGAGATGCTGGCCTTGTCTGTGACAACTGGAGATGAATCCACAGCACAGTCTGGAAAACAMCAACAACATTAAAATGTACACAGTCTTTGCATAGTAGAAACAGTAAAGTGTCACTTATTTTTGTAATTTTTGTTTAACATTGTGAGGAAAGTTCCTCATTCAACACTTTGACACATCACATGCCCTTGTGACACGACTTTGAATAAGGGAGATATAATTAAAATATGGATGATTTTGATTTATTGAAATCAAGTTGGCATGCTAAAAGTGACTAATGTGGTAAGACTTACTTAGGGTTTCAGGAGGTCTGATAGGCTTCTCCCTTCTTGAACTTGTGAAAGAATAATCTGCAGACGTGCATTTTCATTGAAATGCATTGCAGCCAGGTACAGTCTGGTTAAAATAGCATAAAAGAATATTACATGTTAGTTTGAAGTTGCACCATTAAAACTCATCTAACACACAGTATTTTGAATAAGAAAAAAAAACATAAATATAGAGTGACTAAAACAACACTGCAGCCGATATTTTTTGGCCGATTCTTGAAGCCGATACTACTTTTTCTTCCTCCATTAGCAAGATAAAAATAAGAATGATAACAAATGTTACATAAGTCTTAATTTAAAACAAAACAAACTAAAAAATAAACAAAAAACATTTAATAACTAAGCCTTGTCTGAA